CCCTGAGCCACACCCCCAGCCTTCTTTGTGAGATCAAATCTCTATGATTCCCAGACAGGCTTTAAAGTTTTCATCTTCCTTTCTCTGCCTCCCAAGTAACTTAAGTTTAGAAGCCCTGATCCAGTTCAAAACTTTTATAAAAAAAAAATATATATATATATATGTACATGCATGTGTATATTATATAATTAATGCATGCATATATAATACCTATGCATAATAAAGCAGTTGTAACAGAGTTGTATTAGCTAACTGTGGCTGAATAACAAGTTACCCTATCGCTGAGTTGCCCATAGTAAGTACCTTTTATCTCTATCAATATCAGTTTCTCTGGTCAGGGATCTGGCCTTCGTCCATTGACTCCTCTGCTCAGGGTCTCTCACAAGGCTACAGTTATTTCAGTTAATTTGAAGAGAATCCACTTCCATATCCACAAGGGGCTAAACAGCACTTTGTTCCTCAGAGGCCATTGGCCCAGGTCACCTTTGGTTCTGTGCCATGTGGGCTTCTAAGTATGGCAACAAGGATCACACTGAAATGAGCTGGACTTGTATAAAACTTCTATAAAGTCAGCTCACAAATGATGATTCTCTCTAATGCATTCTGTTCTTAGACTTAGTGGCCAGATCTGACCCACATTTAAGGAGATGGACTTACAAGGGCATGGATGTTTGGAGGGGACAACTAGGAGCCTTTTAGAAGTTTCCCTTGAAGCATGCAAGGTAATCTGTAGCTATAGGAAGAAAAGCCAAGGTCCTAGAGCAGGACCCCTCTGGAATAAAGAAGGTATTATGATCTGCTATCAAAGTAGGTTAGACTCATGAGCCAGGAACTGTGGACAAGGACAAAGAAGTCAAATATCACAGGTGACAGTGGTCCCTCCATTTTTAGCCATCTTCATCCTCTTTGCACTAATCATTGTTGAGAGTTTGGGTTATGTCCCCAAAGGACTTGTGCTATGCATTACAAATATTGGTACACACACAGACTTCAGCAGTTTTAGAAAAAGTACCTGGCCTGTATCTAAGGTCTTCACTGCTGCCTTCCCTGACCATTCTGTTTTGGCCCCTGTTCACCCACTGGGCCCTCCATACAGCTGGGAGAAGGTATATTGGCATTTATAAGGAAGCGTAAAGGTCTCCCTGCCCAAAAGGTAGAGTGTGGATGATATGGGGTGATTGGCCTATCCCTGGTCCTAAAGGCAGGTTTGAAGCCACAGAGCTAACCTGGCTGCCTTCATTTTCCCTAACTTAGTTTTACAAGTATATCTTTCACTTCAGTCTTCCTACTGAGTGTGTATGACACTGAAAGGGTCAAATTGTTTCTCTTAATTACTGTCATCGCCACACAGAGGACCCCTCATCTTCTCAGCAAGGCACATTTTAGTTGGGGGTGTAGGGTCAGTATTCATGTTTCTTAGGAAAGTTGAGTTCTCCATTATTTTTTTTTTTTGTCTTTTTGAGACAGGGTCTCTCTGTAGCCCCAGCTGTCCTGGAACTCACTGTGTAGACCAGGCTGGCCTTGAACTCACAGAGATCTGCCTGCCTCTGCCTCCCGAGTGCTGGGATTAAAGGCATATGCCACCACGCCCGGCTGAGTTTTTTCTTTAGCAGTTTACCCTATTTTCTTTAGCTTACAGGCTTCATTCTGAATAATAGCAACTACTTATCATTAAACTTAAAACACAAAATAACGCCAGGTACGGTCATGCATGCCTTAACAAAAAAAAAAAAAACATGGTCACATATTCAGTACATTTTAGAACACAGATCAAAGGTATATACCATCTTTGACTATTTTGGGACCCATTTTGAATTTCTAACAATGGGTCTTATATGACTTAAAAAAAAAACTAACCAGATCTACATCCCTTTTTTTTTTTTTTTGCCTTTTCTGCATTTATTGAGATGATCATGTGATTTTTTTTTTATTCTTGTTTACTTAAGTGTTTCATTTATTTATATTTTTACTGTTTTGTGAATTTTATATTTGTGAATTTAGATTCCCCCTCCCCTATCCATGCCTCCACATACCCCCCTCACCAGACCTCGTGCATTCTCTCATATATGTTAAGTCCTATCTGGTCAAGCGTTTGTACCCCAGTGTTCTACGGTGCAAGTTTAGCCACTGGAATATCAGCCTATCTAGAGATCTTAAGATCTACATCTTGATAGACAAAGCAGACACAGGATACTTTTTAAATGAACCAGTTGATCAAGCATCTTTATAGAAAACTGGTTCAGAAAAAGTCCAAATCTATTAGCAGGACTGGTGGTGGCTGGTGGGTCTCCTTTGCTGAGGAGGTCTGTTTCCTTTGTCTTTTCAGAGGCAGTCAAATGCTTCTCAAGCACTCTGTGACATCATCAGGCTGGGCAGAGACCAGGGAAGTCAGCTGCAGGAGGCTGTGGAGCCAGATCCCCTCCTTACAGCACTGGAGTCGTGAGTGCTAGTGGGCTGTGGTATGGTGGACCTCATTCTAAGTCATGGGCAAGTCTTTGAGCCTGTTTTAAACACAGGAGATGATGCTATCACCTCTAATTCAGAACTCCCCAGGTTTAGCACCCAGGGAGGGATATCTAGTATAGAATGCCCTGGTGGGGGCCAGTGGGCTAAATGTCATGCAAGCCTTGGGCATCTTTGCTTTGAGCAAAGCTAGAATGAAGCCTACCTGGCTCAGGGTGCTGTGGTGTCTTCTGGGGAAGAAAGTATCTTTGCGTTGTATGTGTGTCTGCTTCACCAGCCAGACAGTGACCTCCAAATGTACCCGACAGGCAGGACTGTGTAGAGCAGCTTCTGAAGAACATGTTTGATGGAGATCAGACAGAGAGCTGCCTGGTCAGTGGAATGCAGGTGCTGCTGGCCTTACTGGAGCCAAGGCGTGTTGGGTGAGCCTCTCCCTGGAAAAGTGTATGTTGCCCTTATGCCATTGGATATGTGTGCCTAGAGTAGCCAGGCCATTCTCTGTTTGTTTGTTTGCTTGTTTTGGAGACAGGTCTCCCTCTAGTTACTGCTGTCCTGGAACTCGCTATGTAGACCAGGCTGGCCTTGATCGGACAGATCTGCCTGCCTCTGCCTCCTGAATACTGGGAATAAAGCCATGTACTATCATGCTTGGCCTTACTGTGCTATTTTTCATTCATTTTTGGTTACAAAAATTATAATGTGGATTGACACCCTTGTTCAAAAGTCCACTTTACCAATGTGGCCAAGTCCTCTTTGACTCCCACTATCAGGCATAGCTCCAACCCCAGCGTGACAGCACTCACTGCCACCAGTTTATAGTATGTTTATAGATGCATATGGAATAGATGTAGTCCTAGGACTGTTCTGGTAAGCTTCTACAGTGCATGAATGTATGCATTTGTGTAGTTGCTGTAGGGCTTCTACTCCAACATGTAGTTACTTGCTATTTACATGTTTATTTCCCAGGGCAGGAAACATGCTGTGTTCATCTTTGTCTCCTGAGCCCTGTGAACACAGGTATGGAACACAGATACAGTATAGAAAGTTCAGGTGACAGACATCCCATGCTATGGGATCCACAAGGAAAGTCTGTGTAAGCCTAGTGGGTAGAGACTTGCTGGTCAGGGAGGTTTCCCTGAGATGCCCCATATAGTCAGAAATAATTCCTGACAGGAGCGGGATCCTGTTGTAAGCAAAAGCATTGGACCAATATATGGGTGAGGAAGTGTGAAGCTTATTTGCAGGTATCCCTGTTGTATAACTCAGGTGACTTAGGTTACCATACTGGCTTTCCCCAGTATAGCTGTTAGAGTCTTGCTGCGGCAGGACCAGCAGAGTGCCAGTTTCTAAGACCAAAGATGGCAAGAGAAATGAGTCTGAGTGCAAGGCTGAACTGGTTTGAACCCAAATAGGACCCAAATAGAAATTCTTGGAGGTGTCTAAAACTTGCTTTGGGGCCCAAGCTGGCTCTCAGTTCCCAGCAGGCTGGGTATAGCCACAGCCACCTGAGCAGAGATGATCTAATGTCACCTTGTGAGCTACAGATGAGAGGCAGCAGAGTGTGGAAAGTTAATAGCAGAATTTCTTAGCCCAGAAACTCCCTGTAATGCATGCCCCAAAAGGAGATAGTAGAGGAGACCCCTGATATTCCTGGGTACTGACCACCTCAGCCTCTCCAATGGGCGGTGACGTTCCATCCGTGGATTCAGATTCTCTGCAGCTAGTGGGTCATCTGCAGGCCATCTTTGCTTTGTTTATCACATGCAGGGAATAATGGTCCAGTCTCCCTCAAGGCAGGATTGCTGTATTTCCACATGTTGGGGAGAAATTAATTATCTTCTGTAGCCCCAGCTGTCCTGAAACTCACTATGTAGACCAGGCTGGCTGTGAACGCACAGAGATCCACCTGCCTCTGCCTCCTGAGTGCTGGGATTAAAGGCGTGGGCCACCACGCCTGGCTATACTAGTGCTTTTAAACACACACACACACATTTTAGGAAATTGAGTTACTCTCTCTCTGAAACTACCAAGTATATCAATAATAGTTTAATGCCTAAAAATAATCATTTTCTCTACTTAGGTAACTTGAATATTGATTTCTTTAATAAGACCAGGAAGCCTGGACCACTTCCAAAAGCCAAACTCAGCCCTGCATGTGATGAAGGAAACAATGTAAAATTTAGAAAAACAAGTAGTCAACAATTTTTCTTCACATTTTCTGTTTTGATTGATTTAACTTGGGTATGAATGTTTTTTCTGCATGTATGTAAGTGTACCCATATTGTGTAGTGCCCATGGAGGCCAGAGGAGGGGGTCAGATCCCTTGGAACTGACAGTTACAGACAGTTGTTAGCTACCATGTGGGTGCTGGGAACCAAATATGGGTCCTCTGCAAGAACAACCAGTGCTCTTAATCACTGAGCCATCTCTCCAACCCCTCTTTACAATTTTTTTTTTGGTCTTTTTTTTTTTTTTTTTGAGATAGGGTCACCCTGTAGTCCTAGCTGGCCTGAACTCACTAGACCAGGCTGGCCTTGAACTCACAGAAATCCACCTACCTCTGCCTCCCGATTGCTGGGATTAAAGGCATTCACCGCCCCGTGTTCTTTACATTTTAAAAAATGTATTTAAGCCAGGTGTGGTGGCGCATGCCTGTAGTCCCAGCATTTGGGAGGCAGAGGCAGGAGGATCTATGTGAGTTCAAGTCCAGCCTGGTCTACATAGTGAGTTCCAGGACAGCTGGGGCTACAGAGAGACCCTGTCTCAAAAAGACCAAAAAATAAAAATAAAAAAAAAATTAAAAATTAAAAATGTATTTAAGGGTTTTTTTTGGTAATGATCTTGTTACATTTATTTATTTATTTTGAGACAAGGTCTCATTATGTAGCCCTGGCTGGCCTGGGACTCGTTACATAGACCAGGCTGACCCTCAGACTCCCAGAACTCCCCTGTTTCCCTTATGCTGGGACTAAAGGTGTGCACCAGGGATGGCTTTGTGTGTTACTGTCATTATTACAAAAGAAATTTAATACATGATAGAGAAATTTTCTTGAAAAAGCAAAGAAAGGGGCTGGAGCAATGGCTCAGTGATTAAGAGCACTGGCTGCTCTTGTAGAGGACCAGGGTTTAGTCCCTAACACCCATGTGGTGGCTCACAACCATCTGTAACTCCAGTTTCAGGGGATTTGACATCCTTTTCTGACCTCTGTGAGCACCGTAGACATGCAGTACATTTACATACTTTCAGGAAAAGCACTCATATACATAAAAATTTTAAAGTAAATAAATAAAAATTTTTAAAAAGAAAAAGCAAAGAAACTCCAGCCAATTTGACTCCTGCTTCTTAGGGGACAAAACATTTTCCAAATAGGAAAGAGTAGTCCTGCTGGAGGTCAAGGGGGAGGCAGCAAGTCCTCTCACTCCCCTTGTCCTGTGCTCTCAGATTCACTCAAAAATATTTTACTAAGTGCCTTGGGAATACGTCTCAATATACCAGTCACCAAATCATGTGTCAAAGTATTAAGTGATGTCCCTTTTGAATTTCTTTTTGGGAAACTGAGTAAGTTGTTTGTGGAAGATGATGAATGAAATGTTGACAAGGTGAGTGGGGTGTACACAGGGCATGACTCATCTCTCAAGGCCCCATCTGCTGTCCTCATCCACAGGACAGAAGGCTTGGTGGACTCCTTTTCTCAGGGACTGGAAAGGTCATACTCTGTCAGTAGCAGCATCCTGCAGGGCATTGAGCCATGGCTGAAGAATTTCCACCGGCTCCTGCTCAACCCGCCAAAGGTAAATAGCTGTGAAAGGTTGTTAGGGGCCTTTAGAGACATTTAGGGTGGTGTAATATACAAGGAGAGGGTCCTACCTTTGATCCCTGATGAATGGAGTCAGTGTGCTCTGATGTTGCCCCTCCAGACTCCAACTAAAGAACCCCTGGGCAGATGTCAAAAGGTGATGCCAGCTGGGAATATCCATCTTGCCTCCGTTAGAAGAGGTGAGCTGTAGGTATTCTGCAGACTTCCCAGGTGACTGAGTCTGAGGTTATCTAGCCACTGAAAGTCAAGGGCACATCTAGCCAAGAGTTGCTCAACTCTTAGAGGCCCAGGGTCCCAAGGGAGCCCTTTGCTTACTGAGCAGCTCGAGGTCGTGCTTGGGTTAGACTGAGGTGAGTAAAGTTCAGAAAGGTCCTCACTGGTTCCAAGGGCTTCTTCTCCCTCCAGCCTCGCATTACAGCCTTCTCCCAGAAACAACCCCACTCCTTCCCTCAGCACACCTACACCAACTTACTGACTTGTTCATTGTCTGGTTCCCTCTAATAGTAGTAGGATTATGGAAGCAACTATTCTGTTTTGTAGCCTTAAACATTCAATTTATGAAAAAGTAGACATATTATTCTGTGTGGAGTAGAGTGTTAAGAAAATACCTGAATCATGGGCCTGGAAAGATAGCTCAGCAGTTTAAAGAGCACTGTCTGCTCTTGCAGAGGACCCGGGTTCGAGTCCCAGCACCCACATGGCGGCTACGAACCATCCTTAACTCCAGTTCCAGGGAAGTCTGAAGACCTCTTCTGACCTCTGCAGTATTGCAGGACACGGGTGCACTCACATACATGCAGGCAATACACTCATACACATAAAATAAAAAAAAATTTTAATTAAAAAAAATAAAGAAGAAAATACCTGAATCCAGTATAATTGGCAAGCTTGGGTCAGTGAGATGGTTCCGTGGACAAAGCACTCTTCACATATGCCTGAAGACTTGAATTTGATCTCTAGCACCCATATAAAGGTGGAAGGAGAGAATCAACTCCACAAAGTTGCCTTCTGACCTTCACATATATGCTGTGGCATGCATGCACAAACACACACACACACACGAACACACCCACAAACACACACCCACAAACACAAACACATACACACAAACACACAAACACACACACAAACACACACACAACCTACTGTGAAGAAAATACTAATGAGCAAGCTTGAGCAGTCTCACTGTGCATCTCTTGCAATTGTGTCCCTCCCCCCCCCCCCTGCCACAAAACAGCCGTGATCATATATAACTAGGCATCAGGTCCAAGGCTCTAGCCCTCGGGTCTTGCCACCTTCAGGTTGGTACTGCTGGTCCCATGGTGGACTGGACATAACTCACATGCCATAGCACCAGTCCTTTGGCCTGGCAGGCTCAGACGAGAATCCCTGGGTTTCCTTGGAGCCTTCAGCCTCCCTTGTCCACTCTTTTGGTCCTGAGAGGAGATGTAGGTCGTCCATCCTATGGATTCCTTCACCTCCATTTGCAGATACCCCATCTTGATCACACCCCATTCCCTGAGGCCAGGCACATCATGGGTCAGTGGCCCTGCTAGTCACAAGGCTCCAACCAGGTGATGCCTCCTGTGTTTGCAGAAAAAAGCAATCCTGACCACAATTGGCGTGCTAGAGGAGCCCCTGGGGAATGCTCGTCTTCAAGGTGCACGCCTCATGGCTGCACTGCTGCACACAAACACGCCCAGCATCAACCAGGAGCTCTGCCGACTCAACACCATGGACTTATTGCTGGTGAGTCAGCACCATGTCCAGCCCTACTTATCTGTATGTGTCATGCATAGTCCGTAGTTGGATATGGAGATGGGTCAGGGAGGGCAGCTGGACATCAGCACATGGACAAAAACCTGCAAAAGAGAGGTGCTGATTCCGAGTCCCAGGGCTTAATCACAGGTTTCTGATAGAGCACAGTGAGCAACAAAGGGATGTGCCTCAGTCTTAAGCTCACAAAGACCTGCTATCATAGGAACTGCTCTGACAGCAGACGGCTGGTATCTAGTCCTCTTAAGTCAAATGTGTCTTCATCTGGGCCTGTGGTGCATGCCTTTAATCCTAGCACTTGAGAGGCAGAGAAGTGGGTGGACCTCTATGAGATCGAGGCCAGCCTGGTCTCCATAGCAAGTTTCAGGAGAGATGGGGCTACGGGGAGAGCCTGTCTCAACAAAACAAAACAAACAACAAAGACCAAAAAAACAACAAAGCAAAACAAATGTCGTTAAAGAGAAGCTTCTTCGGGGCTAGAGCGACGACTCAGCAGTTAAGAGAACTGACTGCTCTTGCAGAGGACCTGGGTCGATTCCCAGCACCCACATGGTAGCTACGAACCGTCCTTAACTCCAGTTCCAGGGGAATCCGACGCCCTCTTCTGACCTCCACAGCATTGCACGACACGGGTGCACTCACATACATGCAGGCAATGCACTCATGCACATAAAATAAAAATAATGATAAAAAAAGAGATCCTCCTTCTACAGTTGTCATCCTTGTGGTTCTTGTCAAAAACAGTAGGAAATACTCTTCACCAGCAGAAGCTAGCCAGTGACCTACAGAGTGCTATAGAGTTCTAATGAGAGGGATAAACTGGCAGTAGCAGCCTGCCTGTGCTGGCTCTACAGGAAGCTTGGGGCTCCTCCCTTGAGCAGGAAGATGTGAACAGGGAATGTGCTCTGCCCTCTGTGGGTACTGTTTGCATGCACAGTCCCTTCTCCTGTGCCTTGGGGCCTCTGCTCTCAGAAAGCTGGAAGTTCCCTCAAACTTGGCACTAGTGGGTGTGATAGTAATACCTATAATCTTAATACTCTGGTGGTGAAGGCAGGATGAATTCAAGGTCAGCCTGGACTGCATGAGATCTTGTCTCAACCCTCAGCCCCTCCCCCAAGAGTTACTAGGTACTGCTATGACAAATCCCAGCTTGTATCAGGGATGTGTTTATAAAAGACTTGCTTTTTCTTCTTTCTAAAATAATTTTGTCCCTATTTTTCTTTTTTTCTCTCAATTTTCATTTTATTTATTTTTTATATAGGTATATTTATGTGCTCATGTGTATGAACGTGTGTATGTGTGGTACACATATGTGCATGAAGGCCAGAGATCAACCTTGGGTATCCTCTTCAACTAATCTTTATCTTATTTTATTGTTGTTGTTGGTTTTGGGGTTTTGTTTTCTTTATTTTTGTTTTTGTGTTCTTTTGTTGAGATGGGATTTCCCTGTATCCCCAGCTGGCCTGGAATTCACTCTGTAGACCACACTGGCCTCCATCTCATGGAGATCAGCCTGCCTCTTTCTCCTGAGTGCTTGGATTAAAGGCATGTACCATCATACTGCTGCTCGTTTTTTGAGACAGGGTCTCACTATGTAGCGTTGGCTGGCCTGGAATTCTCAGTGTAGACCAGGCTGGCTTTGAACTCATAGAGGTTCTTCTGCCTCCACCGTCCAAGTGCCAGGATTACAGTTGTGTGCCACCTACTTGGCTCTACCTTTTCTCCCCTTATTTTAAACATTTTTTAATATATATTATTTTTATTTTATGTGCATGCATGTATTGCCTGTATGTATGTAAGTGCACCTGTGTCATGCAATACCTGTGGAGGACAGAAGAGGCTGTTGGAGCCCCTGGAACTGGAGTTACAGATAGTTGTTAGCTGCCCCATGGGTGCTGGGATTCGAACCTGGGTCTTCTGCAAGAAGAACAGCCAGTGTTCTTAACTGATGAGCCATCTCTCCAGCCCCTCCCTTATTTTTTGATTGGTTTATTTTATTTTATGTGTATGAGTGATTTGCCTACATATATGTAAGTGCACCTGTGCATGCAATGCCTGTGGAGGCCAGAAGATGGTGTTGGATCCCCTGGAACTGGAATTATGCATGGTTGTTAGCCACCATGTGGGTGCTGGGAAACAAACCTGGGTCCTCTGCAAGAGCAGCCAGTGCTCTTAACCATTGTGCCATCTCCTCAGTTTCCCTACTTTAAGATTTATTTATTTTTATTTTATGTGTATGAGCATTTTGTGTGCTTGTATGTGTGCCGTGTATGTACCTGGTGCCCACAGAGGCCAGAAGAGGGCATTGGATCCCCTGGAACTGGAGTTTCAAGTGGTTATGAGCCACCATATGGGTGCTGGAAATAGAACCCCAGTCTTCTGCAACAGCAGCAAGTGCTCTTGACCACTGAACCATCCCACCAGCCATTCCACTGTATTATTTGAGACAGAATCTCTCACTGAATCAGGAGCTCACGGACAAGCAGGGATCCTCCTGTCTCTACCTCCCTAGTGCTTGGATTATAGGTGTATGTTGCTGTGCCTGCCTTTTTTACATGGGCACTGGGGATTGAACTCAGATCTCTCTTGTTTGCATAGCAAGTATTTTACTAACTAATTTCCCCAGTGTACTTATTTTTTTGTGTTTCTAGTGCTTGTGGTAGAATTCAGTACCTACCCAAGTGTTCTACCACAGAGCTACACCCTAGACCTTTTCATTGGTTTGTTCGTTTGTTCGTTTGTTCATTCATTCAGCAAGTGCTGGAATTGAATCTAGGGCCTTGCTTATGCTGGACAAACACTCTATCACTGAGCTAAATGCCCAGCCATTTCTTTTTTTAAAAAATTCTTTACATTAGCCGGGCATGGTGGTGTGTTCCTTTAACCCCAGCTCTCAGGAGCCAGAAGCAGGTGGATCTCTGTGAGTTCAAGGCCAGCGTGGTCTACATAGTGAGTTTCGGGGCAGCTAGCTGGGGCTACAGGGATACCCTGTCTCAAAAGACCAAAAAAAATTCTTTACATTTATTATTAATTTATTATTTATTATGTGTGCAAATAATAAATCTTATGTGTTTATTATTATTTATTATGTTTGCACATGTGCAAGTGTGCTACGAAGAAGTCAGGACAATTTGCAGGAATAGGTTCTCTCCTTCTGCTATGTGGATCCTGAAGATCAAACTCATGTTGTAAGCCTTGGCAGAAAGTGCCCTTACCACTGAACCATCTCACTGGCCCATACATTTTTTTTTTTTAAGACAGGGTCTCCCCGTAGCCCCAGCTGACCTTGAAATCACTTTGTAGACCAGGCTGGCCTTGAACTCACAGAGATCCACCTGCCTCTGCTTCCTGAGAGCTGGGATTAAAGGCATGCGCCACCACACCTAGCCCCCATAAAATGCTGTTAAAGGAAATCATTAAGTGTGGGTGAGGATGTGGAAAAACTGGAAACCTTATACACTGTTGGGGATATACTATTGCTAGGACTATAAGATGGTACAACTGTTGTGGAAAAGTTTGGTGGTTCCTCAAAAAACTGTATACAGAACTGCTATGGTATCTTGCATGTCTACTCCTGGACATTCATCTAAAAGAATTTAAAGATATCTGTACACCCAAGCTCATAGCAGCACTGCTCACTATAGCTGAAAACTGGGAACAAAACTAGTATTCACTGATACACAAATCGAAACAAAATATGGCAAATAATACAACTGTATATACTACACAGTCTTCAAAAGAAAAAATCCTGGGCTGAAGAGATGGCTCAGCAGTGAAGAGCACTGACTACTCTTGTAGAGAACCAGGTTCAGTTTCCAGCACCCACTTGGCAGCTAACAACCATCTGTAACTCCAGTTCCAGGGGATCTGATGGCTTCTTCTGACCTCCACTGGCATTGCATGACACAAGTGCATGTACATACATCCAGGCAATACACTCATATACATAAAAAAAGAAATTGGTAAAATATTTTTAGAGAAGAGGAAATCCTGGGGGCTGGAGAGATGGCTCAGTGGTTAAGAACACTGGCCGTTCTTGCAGAAGACCTGGGTTAGATTCCCAGCACCCATATAACAGTTAACAATCATCTGTAATCCCAGCACCCATATGAAGGCTAACAATCATCTGCCCTCTTCTGACCTCCATGGACATTGCACAATATGAGTGCACTTACATACATGCAGGAAATACACTCATACACATAAAATAAAAATAATAAATAAGCTGGGCGTAGTGGCACATGTCCTTAGTCCCAGCACTCGGGAGGCAGAGGCAGGCAGATCTGTGAGTTCAAGGCCAGCCTAGTCTACATAGTGAGTTCCAGGACACCTGGGGCTACAGGGAGACCCTGTCTTAAAAAGACCAAAAAAAAAAAAAAAAGTAATGATAAATAAAATATTTTTTAAAAAGAAAAGAGGAAATCTTGACATGTGGAGTGTGGATGAAACTTGAGGCCACTGTGCTTTGCCAGTCACAAAAAGGCCTCTATGATCCCACTTACATAATGTCCTATAGTAGGACAGAAAGTAGAATGGAGCTTGCCAAGGGGCTAGGAGAGGACAGAATGTGAAGTGTTTAAAGGGGAAAGGAGATAGTTTTGGAAATAGGTATTTGTAACAGTCAGACAATATAATAGATGTGTTTAACCCCACTGAGTTGTACATGTAAAAATGATTAAAATGAGAGCCAGGTTTAATACCAGAACTTGAGAGCCTCTGGCAGGAGGATGCTGAATTCAAGGCCAACCTGGTGTGCTCAAAGACCCTGGAGAATGCTCAGCTGACACTCTGGGCTTCATAGTGAGACTCTCTCAAGTCCTCAAAATGGTTAAAACAGCAGATTTTATGTTATGATACTCTATCACAATAAACATAAAAGGGAGATAGACATGGTGGGATTCACCTGTAATCTTAGTATTCAGGTGGCTGAGGCTGAAGGATCATAAGTTCAAGGCCAGCCTGAACTGCATAAGAGTTCAAGGCCTGTGTGAGTTATACAGTGAGACCCTGCCCCCCAAACAACAGCTGGGCAGTAAGATGGAACGCACACATACAAGTGTAATTTTAATTTTTAAAAATTTATAAAGTTTTGAAGTGGTATCTTATGGTGGTTTAGGTTTGTATTCCCTTCTTAATGATGAACATCTTTTCATGGACTCAGTCATTTTTTATGTCTTTGGAGAAATGTCTTTTTATGTCTTTGGAGAATGTTCAAGTTCTTTGCCCATTTTGAATTGAATGGTTTATGTTTTATACTCAAATTCTGAGTGTTATATATTCTGGTTATTAAATATTTTGTTCTTTTGGGGGAAATTATCCTTTACTTTGCTTGTTTTTGAGATAGGGTCCCACTATGTAGTTCAAATTACTCTCAAATTTGTGATCCTCCTGTCTCAGCCCCCTAAAGTTTAGGATTACAGGACTGTACCTATCTGACAACTTTCACTCTTTAATTTTTTTTTTTGAGACAGAGTGACCTTCAACTTGCTATGTAGCTGGGAATGACCTTGAACTTCTGATCTTCCTGCCTCTACCTCCCAAGTGTTGAGGCTACAGGTGTATGCCAAAACACTTGGTTTTTATGTGGTGCTAAGGATTGAACCCAGGGCTTCGTGAATGGTAGGCAATACTCTGCTTGCTACTACATCCCTAGCCCCACGGCTTTTATCTTGATGTTGTTTTGTTTGTTTTTGAGACAGGGTCTCTCTATGTAGCCCTGGCTAATCTGGAACTTACTCTGTAGTCCAGGTTGACTTTGAACTCACAGAGACCCACCTACCTCTGCCTTTTGTGCTTGGACTGAAGGCATGTATTACCAAATCTAGGCAGTAATTTTCTTTTTTAAAATATTTTATTTATGGCCGGGCGTGGTGGCGCATGCCTTTAATCCCAGCACTTGGGAGGCAGAGGTAGGTGGATCTTTGTGAGTTTGAGGCCAGCCTGGTCTACATAGTGAGTTCCAGGACAGTTGGGGCTTCAGGGCAACCCTGTCTCAAAAAGACAAAAAAAATTATATTTATTATATTTATTTTATGTGTAAGAGTATATTTCCAGCATGTATATAAGTGCACCCATGTCATGCAATGTCCACAGAGGTCAGAAGAGGGTGTTGGATCCCTTGGAACTGGAGTTATGGACAATTGATAGCTACTATATGGGTGCTGGGAACCTGGGTCCTATGCAAGAGCAGCCAGTGCTCTTAAATGCTGAGCCATCTCTCTAGTCCCTATAATTTTCTTTAATACATAAAATATTTCAATTTTTTTTGGGTCTTTTTAAAGCAGGGTCTCCCTGTAGCCCCAGCTGTCCTGGAACTCACTATGTAGACCAGGCTGGCCTTGAACTCACAGAGCTCCGCCTGCCTCTGCCTCCCAAGAGCTGGGACTGCAGGTGTGCACCACCACACCCAGTGAAGCCATATATTTTTTAAGATTTGTTTTGTGTGTTTTTTGCCTTATCCAAATCTAGTGTCTTGAAGTTTTTCCTTGTGTTTTCTTCAGAGCTGAGACTTTGATTCATTTTTAGTTAATTTTTATATACAGTGTAAGACAGGGTCCACCTGTCTAGCTAATAGATACCGCTTGTCTAGCTAGCCCCTTTTGTGGAAAACACTCTCTTTTCCCCATAGAATGGTTTGAAAGCTCATTTCTGGATGCTGTGTTCTATTCCATTGGTCATATTTCTCTCCTGCTGCTAGTGCCATGCTGTCTTGATGACTGTAGCCTTGTAGTGTGCTTTGAAACTGAAAATTATGGGTCCTCTGGCCTTGTTCTTTTCAAGAGTGTTTTGGCTGTTGTAGGTACCTGGAGTTTACAAATGAATTTTGGGATTTCTTTTTTCTATTTCTGTCAGAAAAAAATTTGGGAATTTTTAAAATTGATTTTTTTGTGTATTTCATACACAACATCTTAATCACCTTTATACCCCTTCCCCATCGGCACTCTCCCATGCCCCCCTCCAGGAGTCTACTCAGCCCATCCACTGGTCATATGGTCAGGCACAGAGAACATACGTCTGGGAGATGCACAGTACTAGGTGTTGTATTTTTTTAAACAACATTAAGTCTTCCAATTCATGAACACAGATGTTTCCCATTTATTTGAATATGTCTTTAATTTGTTTTTATTTCATGTGTTGGAGTGTTTCATCTGCATGCCTGTATACCATGTGTATGAAGTGTCCCTCAGAGGCCGGAAAAGGGCATCAGATCTCTTGGAATTGGAGTTAGAGATAGTTGTAAGTTGCCATATGGGTGCAGGTTTTCAACAAGAGCAGCCAGTGCTCTTAACTGCTGAGCCACGTCGTCAGCGCTGAGAGATCTTCTTTGGACTAGGGCTGTAGCTCAGCGGTTGAACACTTGCCTAATATACAAAGCCCTATGTTCAGCCTCTAGTAATATAAATAAATTTGGCCCTCTTTGAACTCTCTCAGTAGTGTTTAGTAGTTTTCAGTGCACTGGTCTTTTACCTTAGTTTACTCTTCAGGACTTTATTTTAGATATTATACATTAAATTATATTCTTGGCAAACTTTTTGGGTTGTTCATTGCTGCTGAATAGGATTACAGTAATCTGTGTGTTGACCTTGTATCCTATAACAGGTGAGTTTGTTTATTGTCTCTAACAGTTTATGTAGAATCCTTAGACTTTTTTTCTTACAAGATCATGCCATGTGGGGGCAAGGACAATCACACTTACTCTTTACAGCCTGGAACCCTGTCATTATCTTTCTTTCCTTATTACTCTGGTAAGGACTTTAGTCTATGGTGAGTAGCAAAAGGTGTCCTAGTCTTGTTCCTGATCCTGGCAGTTTTCAGTTTTGTGTCAGTGAGTATGATGTTAGGTGTGAGCTTTGTATAGATACCTTTGTCATGTTGAAGAAGTTTCCTTCTATCCCTAGCTTACTAAGTTGTTTAAAATAAAACTTAATATCAAATAATTTTTCTTTATGAGTTGAGATACTTATCTGATTTTTTTTTTTTTTTTTGGTTTTTTTGAAGTATTATTAATTAATTAATTAATTAATTTAGTCTTTTTGAGACAGGGGATCACTGCAGCCCCAGCTGTCCTGGAACTCACTGTGTAGACGAGGCTCTCCTTGAACTCACAGAGATCTGCCTGCCTCTGCCTCCTAAGTGCTGTGATTAAAGGCATGTGCCATCACGCCTGGCTATTTATCTGATTTTTATCTTTTTTTTTTTTTTGTCTTTTTGAGACGGTCTTCCTGTAGCCCCCGCTAGCCTGGAACTCACGATGTAGACCAGGCTGGCTTTGAACTCACAGAGATCCTCCTGCCTCTGCCTTCCAAGTGCTGGGACTAAAGGTGTGCACCACCATGCCCAGCCCAATTTTTTATCTTTCCCTCAGCATTATGTTGATTGATTTCATATCTTAAAACATCCTTATATTCTGGGGATAAATCCCACTTTATCAGGGTGGATGATTCTTTGTTGTTGTTTTTGTTCTTATGTGTATATGGTTGCACACGTGTGTGTGTGTGTGGCTCAGAGGATGGCTTTTGTGAGTCCATTCTTACCTGTCACTGAGTGGGTCCCAGAGATCAAAATCAGGCTCCTAGGCTTGGTGGCAGGTCCCTTTACCTGCTAAGCCATCTCACTGGTCCCATGAATGATTCTTTCAATGTGATACAGTATTCAGTTGGCATTTTCCATCAGCATTTATGAGAAATAGCCTGGCTTTCTTGTCATGTCTTTATCTTGCTTTAGTATCAAGTTGACACTGACCTCATGGAGTACATTAGGAAGCTCCTTCCTCTTCAGTTTTTAGAAGAATTTAAGAACAATATGAGCCAGGCATGGTGGCGCGTGATTGTAGTCCCAGCACTTGGGAGGCAGAGGCAGGTGGATCTCTGTGAGTTCAAGGTCAGCCTGGTCTACATAGTGAGTTGCAGGATAGCTGGGGCTACAGGGAGACCCTGTCTCAAAAAGTCCAAAAAAAAAAAGGGGCCCAAATTCACATCCCATCTCTCCACCCAGTGCATACCCGTCTGTGCATAGCAGGGGCTCTGGGACTGTAGGCTTCTGTAATATTGGTCTCAAAGACTCAAAGTTCCAGGAGCTGTGCCTCCTTTTCTCGCCCTGCTCTGGGTGATAGGATAGCTAGGGCAGGCACTTCAGTCCCCCACGGGAGGCCCCAAACAGTTCCTTGTCCAGGCTTTAACCCTTGATATCAGGCTTTGGCTTCCTCAGGGATGAATACCTCAGCTCATGTTCAGAAGAAGGTACATATCACTCATCCTGGGTAGAGTCCCAAGGTTAGCATTCTTCTCATTCACTGGTTAGAGACAAAAATCATACAAGACATTTTCCAATCCTTAGAGCTGAAAAATAATAAAAAGTACTACTTAGAAAAATATATAGTAGATGTTACAGAAAAATAGAGGTCTTCTAAAGATGTCAGAAAAGAAAAAATACCCCAAATTAATTTATTTGGATAAGAGCTGAAGTCAATGAGGCGCACCAGAAAGCCACAGCCGGAGGCTGAAGGACGAGGTTCCGCCTCACAAGCTTTGTCAGAGAGAAATGGGCCCTGGGAAGCACGCTAGCATGCTGTGAAATTAGGAGATGAAATCTGAGTGAGTCGCCTTCACCTCTGTGGTTTAGCTGCTAAGAGACCCATCTAAGGACTTTCTTCTGCCTCTCTTTACTCAGGACTTGTTTTTTAAATACACCTGGAATAACTTTTTGCACTTCCAAGTGGAACTATGCATAGCCGCTATTCTCTCCCATGCTGCCCGGGAGGAGCAGGCAGAAGCTAGTGGATCTGATGGCAAGGTGGAGCCTCTACAGGGGAGTGGAGATGGGAATGGGAAGCTGGAGACCCCTCAACCCATCGCCAGCCTTCCTGAGAACACCATGGTGACCCACGTAAGTTCAGGCCAGAGTCTTTTTGTCACTGCTGGCTGAGCCAGAGCCAGACTGTGTGGAGTTGTGCCATATGTGGCCAGCACTGCACAGGCCCTGGTGTGTTACCGCCTAACCCTCACATAGGTCAGAGATCCTTCTGTCCTTGACTCACAAGGATGCAAAATCATGAAGAAACATCCAGATTTGACAAGATCACAGAGTTGGTGACAGAGAAGGCGGGGGCAGCAGGAAGGAAAGCAGTGTTTACAAAGCTGATCTGTGATTGTTGGTTGTAGCTCTAGGTAGGGAAGCTGTGTGGACATTACTCCCACAGAGCTTTGCTCAGGAGTAGCCCTCTGCTTGTTCAGTCCACTGTTATAACAAAAAAGAAAATGCAAGTGTTAAGGTCTCATGGAAAAGCTTTCTGAAACTTTGTACCTCCTATATCCAGGTACACCAGCCCTCTGAGTGACCCCGTCCTTATTCTCCATGGGATGACCATACAGTTGTCACCCCACTCCTTCCCTGGGTAGCTGAGACTCTCAGGTCAGAGTCTGTAACAGCCTCTTTTTATCATCAGCATCTAACCTCTTCTCTGGTAGAGAGCAGCTCCGATGAATGTTTTCCAGGGAAGGAAGGGCAAGGGCAGCTTGGGATCAGAAAGAGGTACCCTGAGCTAAGACCCACTTGTGACTAGCTTCTCATAAGTGGTGGGGTGGGGGTTGGGGGCATTGTGGACCACACTGCAGGGCTGATAAGAGGGCAGAAGTTTGGGAAAGGGTTCCTGTGTCTCTAGAAAGAGGCCTCATAGAGAGCAGGGCTTGAGTTGATCTGGAAGGTCTCCATTCTGCTTGCTGTGGAAAGGTGTCCTGGGAACCTTCTATGTGCAAGCCTGGAAGGAGCTAATACTAGACAAGAAGCATCTAGACTGGCCTACGATTGATGGCTCAGTGGATGAACAGCAGTTTCAGTGAGGAGAGCACATGATAGGGAGGATATTATTCAGGGGCCATGCAGACAAATGGGACTCCCAGACAATGAGAGTGGAGCTGTTGAGTTGGGGCCTGTAGCAAATATCCCAGGTGCAAGAAAACAGCCCACATGTCAAGGAGAGAACATGCCAAGGACTCTAGCTGTTCCTTCTGGATACTGAGGGAGCTGGTGAGAAAATGGCCATAGGTACAGGTGGAGGTGCACAGTAGGGGAGGCTGAGGAGCATAGAGTGTCCTTTACTATACTGGTCTTCATTCTCAGGACATTCAGTAGCATGAGACTTGAGCCCTTGGGCAAAGTGTTTGGTGGGGATCAGAAATCAATGAGGTTGCCAAAGCTACAGGGTCTTCAGTGCTGATTGGCTGGCTCTCTACCTGTAGTGTCTAGGAGGCAGTGTGCAGGCCTGCAGGCTCACATTCACACTGCCTGCCCCTCTCCCAGCTGTTCCAGAAGTGCTGCTTGGTACAGAGGATCCTGGAGGCCTGGGAAGCCAACGACCACACACAGTAAGAGCTCTGGGGACCCTCCTGCCCAGTTGGACATGCAGAGATGCACTCCACCAGGGTGTTGGTAACACTGCAGAACTCCAGGGTTAATATCAGGCGTCAGGAGTATATGACATGGACCTGTGCCTGCAGCTGTTCTAGAAGGGCTAAACAGCTGTAAAGGCTGCCTAGGAAGGAGACTAGGGAAGTAGAGAGAGGAGACAACTTTAAGTGATGGAAAGCTAGGCTGCACAGTGAGTGAATAAGTGGCCCCTTCCCCTTCCTTACCAGTAGCCCATGGTGCTGGCTATAACCATTTTTTTTTATTTTCCTCAAAATTTGGAGCATACTTGGTTGACACTTATACACAGGAATGTACTTTAGTTTTGAGTCTTCTCTTGGCTCAGAAGCAATGCCCTAGGTTTTCCAGGGCTGGTGGCCATCATCTTTCATTCACTGTCCTGCCGAGAACAGGTGGGCTCCAGGCAGTGCTGGGGGGTGGGGGCTCATGGGAGCCCTGAGGGGTCTGAGCACAGTTGTGGGGCTATCACTCTGGACTTATGAGCAGAGGCTAGGCCAGCTCACATGATATAGAGATCCCTACCCCACCCCAACAGTGAGCAGCATCCTGGAAGTAGTGTGTCCAGTGCAAGCTGTGCTGCCACTAGGCCTGACTCAGCTCCTCCGCTACTGCCTCCATTTGGGGCTTGGACCAACACTTGTGATCTTTCTGCCTCTAGCTTCTCATGCATAAATGAGATGTGAAATGAGCAATCCTGTTAGTGCTTCTTGGGGTATGGTGGGGTGTTGGTGAAAATAGCAAATGCTCTACATTACAGTGTCCTAGAGGTGAGGCTGCTGGTTAGGCACTGTGTGATACCAGGCTGTTGCCCTAGAGATGACCTTGGAATGACAACCACTGAGTAGGCAAAGGCCTAGGCTGGAGATGAGCTTCCGAAAGTCCTTCATTTAACCCTCCCAGCAAGAAGTTGGGTAAGACCTGGACTGGGTGGCCACCCTGATGGCTCATTTCACTTTCAGGGCAGCAGGTGGTATGAGGCGTGGGAACATGGGCCACCTCACACGGATTGCCAATGCAGTGGTACAGAATCTGGAGCACGGCCCTGTGCAGACCCACATCAGTGAGGTCATCCGAGGTGAGCTCACCACTCTTCTCTCCTTCTGCCCCTGTCCCTCAGCAGTGGTAACCACACTGATATGGGATAAACTATGCAGTCTCCTTTGGCATCTTCTCAGGATAGGCCAGGTGTCCTCTCTGTGGGGCAGGCATCTGTAGAATGTAGGAGACGTCAGTGCTGCTTAGAAGCCAGGAACATTGCCAGGCTCTCTTATACTCATGGGTCTCTCAGAGCCCTGCCTGTACTATGGGTGCTAGCCCACCTTCCTGCTTTGCTTCAAACTCAGGCAATTTTGGGAGCGTTCCTAATATGTGTTTCAGGATGGATGCCAGAGCCTTGTGGGATGGACAGTCCCATTCTGGGCTGCTGTTCACTGCTCTGGGCCTCCTCATGCACAGTTCTCAAATGGGGCACTCCTTCCTGATTCTCTCATGTCCTAAAGCACAGTCTGACTCGGTGGCTGTGGCCTTATCCATATGCCATATACTCTGTCCCGGACAAGGGAGGATTGCCATCAAGCCTGAATGGGGTGTACCCAGATCCCTTGAGGCCTGATCAGGATAGGCAGGCAGGTAGTCTCAAAAGATGCCCGGCGGGGGCGGGGGGTGGGGGAGAAATAGATGCCCAGGAACTAGGCTGTACATAGAATTATGACTCAGCACTCTGATTTGTTGGTAAGGGACTGTCTAAGGGACCTGGCTTTCTTGGGAAGGAGAGAAGATAGTTTAACTATGCTGAAGATGACTAAGGGTCCTGTCTGGCACCAGGGCGGGCCCTTGCCACACAGGTTAATTAGAGAGTTGTACAGAGCATTTGTGGCCCTACATGATTGGCCCCATGATCCCCTTGTGTAGTATTTTCCCAGTAGGTACAGGGTAAGGAAGCTCCAGGTGGCACTCCCCATGTCAGGAGGAATTTCTTTTCTCTGTAGCATATCTGAGGTAACCTGCCTGTCCACTGTCTGCTAATTATGTATACTTTTGTAGCCTCTGGTGAAGCTGAACTTGCAAATCTTTCAACACATATGATGGGGGAAGCAGGGTGGAACAGTGAGGGATCCGGGATGGTCCCCTTGCTGCTAGAAGGTAAAAACAAATGGGCTTGAAGCTCAGGATGGGGAAGTTTAGGGAGGTAAGGGGTGAACAGGAAGCTCTTGTTTCCAGATCAGGCACAGACTGTGGAGTTTGCTAAACTCAGGCCTGTGAGGAGTGCAGGAGAAAGGTGGCTCCTTCCTGAGCTCCTTAGGGCATGTATATGCACCAGCAGGTAGATTCAGGACTCCTATGCCCTGAAGTCTCTGTAGAAAGAGGAAAAGTGCTCATTGCCATGCTTCAGACACCTGCCCTCCATCTTTGCTGTATGGGCCTACTTCCCATCAGCAGCCCCTGCTTTGGGCCTTGAGTGGACTGATCACAGGAGCAAAACTTGTACTTCCCTGGACCAGCATGTACTTGTGGGTGCCCTGCACTGTTTGCACACGTCCCAAGGACTCATCAGGCAGCACTTTCCTTGTAGGGCTCCCTGCAGATTGCCGTGGGCGCTGGGAGAGCTTTGTGGAAGAAACACTGATGGAGACCAACCGCAGGAACACAGTGGACCTGGTGAGGAAGCTGGGGCTAGAACCACAGCATGGCTGCAGACCACTGATTGGCCCATATATCCCACCCTGTAGCACAGGCCAAGGAAGCACAAGGCCAGTACTGTAACTGGGCATTCAGTCCATAAGAAAACCCCCTGCTGTGTCACATCAGAGCTAGCTCTCTGAGAATCTGCAAGGCCGGTGCTAACCCCTTGATCTCCCACTCACAGCAGGAACTGTAGCTTATCTGTAAAGGATTCCTTATACCTGAGACCCAGGGTATTCCCCTGGACCAGAGAGGTTGGGCTGTCACAAGGCCTTGGCCTCACTTGGCTTCTTGCAGTAAGCCCAAAAGTGCTAAGAGGTTGGTGGGGTGGGGGGACCCAGGCTGAGCTGGGTGGAGTCTGGGGCTCTGGCTGGGCTGGGCTGGGTAGCGTCTGGCTGGCTCACAAGCCCACCCCATCTGGCCTGTGTTTTAGGTGAGCACTCACCACCTTCACTCCTCAAGTGAGGACGAGGACATTGAGGGTGCTTTCCCTAACGAGCTGTCCCTTCAGCAGGTGAGGGTATGGCCGGCACTCTGCAACCCTGCCGGGCCCTTCCCGAGCCTGTGCCCTTGGAGTGCTTAGTTCCCATGGCATTGCATAGCAAAGGGGAGAAATGGATTATCCCCAATGACATGTGGGGGAGTGGGAGGTCTGGGGAAGACCCTACAAAGTCACATCAGCTTTGTGAGACTCCTGGGGACACTGAGCTTGAAAAATAGAGTAAGGAGGTGCTCTTCTGTACACAGCTGCTCAATTGCTGTGAACATGCAGCCTATGGGAGAATTTACTGCCTGCTTTGCCAGAGGCTTCTGAGCACTAGAGCTCTGGGTTCCAAGGAGCAGCCTCCAGTGCTACAGCCTGTTCCATAATGGTATCCCCTCCTCCCAGGCCTTCTCTGAGTACCAGATCCAGCAGATGACAGCCAACTTTGTGGATCAGTTTGGCTTCAATGACGAGGAGTTTGCAGACCAGGATGACAACATCAAGTGAGTCCAGGCATCTTGCAGATTTGGGCTCTGTGTAAGGAATTCCTCTTCCCTGAATCCTATGCCATGGGGGAAGCCCCCTGTGATCTCGCCAGGAATGTGGCCCACTGTCCCTAAGGAGATAGCAAATGTCCCTTTCACTGCCTGAGGGCACCCAGGCCCACTAGACCAAAGGAAGTACTGAGGGACCTTATTCTTGCAGTGCCCCGTTTGACCGGATCGCAGAGATCAACTTCAACATTGAAGCCGATGAGGATAGTGTGAGTGATTGGGGGCTTCTACTGGGCTACAGGGCATGGTATCATCTTACTCCACTTGCCCAGACAGTGCAGGCTGTGCTCACAACTTGGTCCTTGTCATAGGTGGATGGGGCCATGGGAGCCCTGGCCAGTGGGTGTGTATGTCAGGACTGGGAGGCACTCCTGCATGGGAGCTGGGAGCAGAGTAACTTCCTTGACTCCTCCCATATTGCCCTTCTGGGAGCTAAACCCCTGTAGGAGCCATTTGGGGCCAAGGCTTTCTCAGAAACCAGCTCCTCATTCTGTCTTGCAGCCCAGTACAGCTCTATTTGAAGCCTGCTGCAGCGACCGAATCCAGCCCTTTGATGATGAGGAGGAGGACATCTGGGAGGATGAGGAGACACGCTGTACTGCCCGGGTGATGGCCAGAGCTAGGTGAGGGGTTCACCCATCCTCCCACAGCCTCTCACAAGAGTAAGTGTGTGCATCCAGCCCCTCACAGTGCTTGGGTACCCAGAGAGGCAGTAACCCTTCCTGCAGAGACCAGAGCAAAAGCTGGGAGCCAAGCAATGCTTCTCATTCTTGACTCCCTGTGCACATCCCTATCCCTGAGCTGTGAGCCATCTCTGGTTCTCCAGTGTTGGGTATCTAACCCAAGTCCACCAGGCATCTAACTACCTTTCTGTCTCCCTAGGTTTGGAGCCCCTCATGTCTCAGAGAATTACTCAAAGAATGGCCTGGAGCATGGAGGCCAGGATAGGAAGGCTGGCTCAGTGGTAGCTAGGAATGTGTCTGGATTGGCCACCCGTTCTGCTTCTGCCCAGAAAGAAGGTCCTCACTCAGAGAATGATTCAGAAGGTAGTAATACTAGGGTCCCATCAGGGAACATGGGTGTTGGGGATAGGATGTCCTGACATTATGTCTCAGGAGCTTCCTTTAGAACCGCTATGCCTCCAGGGCTCATGGCCTGCTTCCCCACCTACATGTGACTTCATGAGGTCCAAATGTCATGGTGGGTTCTGCTCTGCACTGAATCAAAAGCAGGGTGCTCTACTCTTGCTCCCTTCTGCTGAGGTACTTGCATCTGCACAGCTGGTATCTACCCCATTGACTGGGGAGGGCATGTCCCCCAGGTAATCTGGAGGCTGTGTGTTTTCACCCCTCAGACATTCTCAGTAGCACAATCCACCTCACATACTACCTCTTGAGACCCTTTTGTTGCCTCTGCTCTGAGTATTGAAATACTCAGGACATGGCAAGAAGGCATCCTTCTGTTGGCTGTTGCTAGTACCATAGCTGGGCCTGCCAAGACCAGGAGCTGCAAGGGCAAGAACAGCAGGGCCACCCATGCCCAAGGCCAGGGAGGAGGCAGAGTGCCCTGGGTTGGGACAGACGGGATAGCACCAGTTCTGCACATCAGCCCAACTGGAGGCTAGAGGGACCCCACAGGTGCTCGTTAATACCAAATCTGCAGGCACCGATGCCCCCCCCTGCCGTGACAGTGGACAGTTTATCAGGACCCTTGAGGCCCTCTCCCCCTAAGTATTCTGGGGTCTGAGGCCATATTATCCTTTGGTGGGGGCCCCCTGCAAGGTACCAACTGGACAATTCTGCCAGCTCTGACACTTCAGGCAGGTTGGATTTCCTTGGGGTCTCCTAAGAGGAACATCCTTGTGTTCTTGCTGAGCTCTGTGGAGCCTTCCATTCATCTCTATGTTGGTGCTGCTTCTCCCTTGTCAGTGGCATAGTAGGTCTCCTGACTCTTAACTGCTGTTATCTCCCCTGGCAGGTGCTGCATGGACAGCGGTGTTTGATGAGCCAATAAACCAGATGTCTGCAGCCCCAGGAGCTGCCAGGGATGTGGGTTCTAGTGTGTGGACAACCGGCCCCTCAGCTCCAGAGGAGAAAGGCTGGGCCAAATTCACTGACTTCCAGCCTTTCTGCTGGTAACATATATCAGCATATAGAGCTATGCCAAGAACTGCCTGTTGGGGGGCTCAGGGCCAGTGTTGCCCCATAGGCTCAGTTTGTCCTCATCCTCATTTGTAGCTCCGAGTCAGGGCCCCGGTGCAGCTCTCCTGTGGACATGGACTGCAGCCATGCCGAGGGTGGCCAGAGTGCAGGCCCAGAGAAAGCCTGTGAGTAGCAGCAGCTCAAACTGCACCCCAGGCTCTTACAAGGGGACCTGGCCTTGCCTAGCTCCTAGGCCTGATACAGGCCAGCATCCCTTGGGACAGTGGGAAGTAGTCAAGACCCCAGCTATGACCATGTATTTGTGGTATTGAGATTTATATACACTTGTGGGATTGGACTTGCCATGTACAGATGGAAGTCCCTAGCCTTGGAGGTCCAGAGGGGCAACACTGGCCATTAGGTTGCCACAGAGGCAGGACCAATCAGGCTCAGGTCTGCACTCTGCCACCCACCAGCAGCCCTGGATCCCGTTGTGAAGTATGTGGATGGGGCCTGATCAAAAAGTCCTTGCCCTCCATCCCCCACTCCCTAGTGGACTCTCAAGAGAGCAGGTCCGAGAGCAGGCAGAGCGAGTGTAACAGCAGTCCCTGACATCCTGGGTGCTGGGCTTCAAGTGCCTTCCCTGAGCCTCTCCTTCCTCCTCTGAGAAAAGCATACATATATCCTGTCTTGTGGGGTGGGGGATATTGTCCACATGAAGGGCACATAGTAGTCCATGTGGTTCTTACGGACATGTAGGTGCATATGTGTACCATTCAGAAAGCCAACATGAGCTTTGTCCACCTCACATTTCCCACTGGCGAATAACAGGTTTAGGGGCCCTGAGGCTGTGTTCTCTGGCCACTCTGCCCTCATGAGTATCACAGGGCTCCTTGTCTTGCAGTTGGTCCTACCTCGCCCTGTGCCTGGAACATGTGTGTCACTAGGAAGGCCCCGCTGGTGGCCTCTGACAGCAGCTCCTCTGGGGGATCTGACAGCGAGGATGACGAGAAAGCTGGTACTGTGGAAGCTGTGAGCACAGGTCATGGAGAGGCCTCCCGTCTCTCCAGGACAGAGGCTGCTGTTGGCAGGTGTGCAGGGAATGCCAATTTTGCCTGGGGTCCCAGTGAATATTGTGTAGCTTCTGAGCTGAGGGCCACAAGCTTCTAGCCCTAGGCTCAGTTGCCAGATTTCAGTTCCCCTGGGAGTAAGTAGAAGCCAGGCTAGAATGCCTGGCTGTTGCCCCTCTGGCAGCATGATCTGTGGAGGTCATCTCTAAAGGTAATGTCCATTCCCTGGACGGGAAGGCATGGGGCTTCTTTGACAGAGGTGCATGTTTTCTGTTGTAAGTGGTTTTAGATGAGAGTTGCCCCTCTGGCAGCATGATCTGTGGAGGTCATCTCCAAAGGTAATGTCCATTCCCTGGACGGGAAGGCATGGAGCTTCTTTGACAGAGGTGCATGTTTTCTGTTGTAAGTGGTTTTAGATGAGA